AGTCAACCACAAAATTTAAATTTAAATGTGAACTATAAAACGCTTTATTACTATCATTTATTTATGATGAAAATGCATCTGTTAACTAAGACGGTTCTAGCATCCTAGAATTGCCTAAATGCGTGCGTGCGCACACACACACACACACACACACACACACACACACACACACACACACACACAGAAAGTGCAGTTCTGAATGAGGAACACCTGCGGTCTATGGCGTAAACCAAAGGCATTATGGGTGATGTATTTTACATGTTGTATTTTTTTTCTCTTTTAGGTAACAGCAAGATCAACAGGAGGCAAAGCATGCTGTTCTAGTGTTTCATGAAGAAGACGCCCCACTTCATCTACACCTCCCAGCAGCCTCTTGCATGAGCCCACCACCCCTCGGAGTGACACCCACACCACCCATTTAACTACACACACGCGCACGCAAACACTCAATCTGAGCGAGTGACTCTGAGTTGAATCTATTTGGTGACTGTTTATTTATTGGGGGCGGGGGGGGGATGGGTGAGGTTGAACTTTTTTTTGCTGCTAAACTACTACTGTCTGTATTTAACACAGTGTGTGTCTGCGCGAAGGCGCGCGTGTGTGTGTGTGTTTGCACAATGTGAACTCGGGATGCCATGCACAGTTGAGCAGTCAGTAAGGTTACTATTGTTCTCCTGACAACGATCCTCCGGCTTCTCATGAGTCAACTGATGTTGATGTCGATGCTGTGGCCCAAGTTGTTGTTCTTGTTGTCGTCGTCCTTGGAGATCGAAAGCTTCTTTTGTAAAATATGTATATCTCTATATACATATATATTTGGAGATTATGTTTTGTTTTTCTTCGAGCTTCCGTGACTGAACTCTACAACATTTCCAGAAACACTAGATGGTGTTGGTTGTCATTTCTCCAAAAACATTTAGGATGGACTTGCAGAAGACGCTGCCCTCTGGGGTTAAACTGAAAATCAGAGAGTGTGACTATGACTGGCAGCTGGGCGGTGAAAGAAGCACACGCAGAGCTACATGGTCTACATGAGAACATCCACCCCTTGCTTCTTTTTGACCACTGTTGCTCACCAACGGGACCAAAACTGAGGTGTGACGGGAGGGGAGGCAAGCAGATGAAAGAAGAGGAATACTGGAGCTGAAAAGGAAGTCATGTGACTCCCACAGGAAGCCAGCAAGCCTTCCTTAAAACCTCTCACAGAGCTGCCAGGATTTCAATGCTTTGTTTCCTTTGTTTTCTTTTGTGTGTGTTTTTTTTTTTTTTTTTTTTTTTAAGATAAATGCAAACTACACTTTCTTGCTTTGTGTACATTCGGAGATGTCACTGCAGTAATTCTTTGTGTTTAACTTGCACTTCATGTGTGTGCGTGTATTTTGTTTTTGGTCTGTTTCAGTTTGTTATTTTGTTTAATTTTTTTCTTTTGGAATCAGGGACAGGAGCCTCGCTTGGCCAAGTTTACCCAACAGTATTAGGATGTGTTCTCTGTGTCTGTGACCTCTCCTTGTGAAACAGCAGTGTCAGTGTGGCATGTTCTCAGAGCTGGGGGGTGGGATAGTGGGGGTGGGGAGGGCTGTTCAAAGGCAATGAGGGTTGCCTTTGAACAACCACTGCTCTTTCAGTATTTGTACAAAAAAAAAAGACATTTCAAATTGAAATTTTTACATTTGCCCGCTATGTTGTTTGCAACCAACAGTGATGCTACAGATGATAAAGCCTGTTGAGAAGTCTTGCTTTTGATTATATGTTTACTGAAACAAAGGGAAGACCTCCTCAAATCACCCTCTTATAAATGTTCACTGGTGTGCTTTGCATCCCTGGCTTATTTTAGTTGTATATGCACTTTTCTTTTTGCCATGGACCAGTGTAGGTGTAATCACTCGTGGTCCAGACTTTGGCTGATCTTCATTGGAAATGGTTACATGAGAAGATTGACGTCATGCTAAATGTGAAGCTTTAGCTTTGGTTGGGTTAGACTGAAAAGAGTTTGAAATGACGAGCTTAACTCTGTAACGTTTGTCCACACCTACAAAGCTGACAAATCAACGCATTCTGCTTTATTTCACCGTTTAAGTGAAAAACATGATCACCTGTAAAAACCAAAATGTTTTTTTTTTTACAGGTGCTGGGAATTTTAGCTCAGTGTGCAAGCCCAAGAGTGGTGTCAGCCTTGTCATCTTACTTGGGGCACATAAGCATGTTTCTCAAAATGTCAAACCATTTCCTTAAAGGATTAATAGAAAACATTACATTTTTGTGGCAGCAAAAAAGTCACACGCAGAAGAATTACGTAAAATGTCAGCGAACACCTGCACTCACAGTAGCAAAACAGACCTGACTGCAGTGGTTAATCTTGTGCAGCTAAATACCAGGGTGCTTTGAACATCACATGTAAGATGATCTGATGGAGGTTTTCCTGTTACTGCAGTTCTTTTGGTCGACATCTTAATGACAGTTTTGTATTTACGCTCTTTTTTTTTTTTCTTTTTTTTTTAAATGTCTACAGTAGAGATTTCTCTTTCAGATACTGATTGGGTAGAAAAATGCTATAGAAGTGCTCGAGGCACAACTAATTCTTGATAAATTAATATATGAAAGCATTAATGGAGTAAACTAAACTAACACAGTTTGCAGCTAACAGTTTAATAATCCTGTAGATAACTCTTAGGAGGCTTTCCTTATAAGGCGGACATTATCATGTTCAAGAGCTCAACACAAACTGTGACAACACAAATACTGTAAAGAAAATATACTGTAACCAGTTTATATTTAGAATAATGTATAAATTATTGTGTTCCCAGGAAAATGTCATTATATTAATGGTAGATTTCCTGTATTACATCGACCCAAAACATGTCTCTTTAAAATAAAGTAGCTTTCTTATACTGCATGCTTGGATGCTTCACTAGAATAGTTTTTGTTTTTCAGAAGTTATTGATTTCCATTTTACTTCGATCAGACCGAAAGATGCAGGATTATTTCTCCGTGAACTGCAAACTGTTCCTGTTAATAGGACATTTGTGTGCACGAACAGCAGTAACATGCACAAAAGGAGATTTCGATAACAGCTAAAATATTTATCATTGTAAAACTGTACTTTTTCAAAATGTGTGACTGATGTATTTTTCCGTGAACACGTCTGAACGTGTGTGTGTATGTGAGCCTGATGCATGGAAGGCCTGCTGTGTTGTGAACTCGACCTCTCTGAAACACTGAGCTGCCGGTGAACAGTTGGTGTGTGACTCTTTTTACTGGAACTATTTATTTCTCATAACCATGGAAAGTAAATTTAAACAGTTTCCTAAAAGCTCTGCGTAGCAGTCATTCTTCGTTTTTCATCCATCCCAGGACCACCTTGTTGCTACAGCGCTAATCACCGCACCACCACCCTACCTGATAGTTAATTGTGACTTTTAAAAAAAGTACTATAATAATTCTATTTCAAAAAAATGTAACATTTATTTAAAGAATGCAGAAAACAAGCAAATCACTGAGAATACACTTCTATTCATTTCTCTAAAACAAAAAACAAACCATTAAAACAAAAAACAAATTCTTTGTGCAATTTTGACTTTGAATGTCAAACTTAAGCTAAACACATTTACATAACTCTTACATATTGAGAAAGGCACAGCTGGTAGAAGGTTAAAAAATTACAGTGCATTTGAGAAAATACAAGATATTATACAGGAAATAATGACTTCCACAGCGTTGTAGCACTCTGGCTAGCAGGAGTTCTGCTAGGAGTCAGTGAAGGTCCCTTGTCATGTGGTCACATGTCCGGCTCAAAGACTTTTTTGTGTTTAATAAAAATAAAAAAATCCTGAGACCTGCAACATCCAAAAAATGTGAACATTTGGTATATTAAAAGGAAGGTTTAGCAGGAAAGGAAAAGGGGGGGGAAAGCTGTATCATCCTCATTCATGACTTGCTCGCTGTTGTAGCAAGTTTTCTTTACTGGCCTATGTAGCCTGTAGTGTCAAATTCTTGAGTTATGGTCCCCTTTTGATCAAATTTTGATGAATTCAAAGACTGATCCTTTCATATATGTGCAGTAAACATTAAGCTAGAACAGTTCATTGACTGTTTCAAAGGTTACAAAATCCATTACTAAAGCTTACTAGTGATTAAATCACTAAGTTTTTAATCCACACACACAAAAAGTGTTTTGAAGCTTTAAGTTGTGATTTTAGGGTTTAGGCTGTGACTCTTCTCTTGGTATTAATGAGATTTTGCCTGAAGGTGCTTTATGTTGTAAGGTAGAGACCCTACAAGAATACAAATGTGTCCACAATTCACAAGGATCGCTACTCCTCCTGGAGTATTGGTCAGAGCTGACTCGAACCTGCACACAATATTCACCCAAACTGTGCTCAAGGTCAAGACTATGTTTGAGATTTCATGGATGCCCTGTCAAATTTTCAGAAGAACCACTCCTCCTAGAACACTGGTCAGATTTTAATCTATTGGGATTCATTAACAATTTATGCCAATTTAGTGAATTTCAGTTCTTGTTTACACAGTTCAGCCAAGTAAGTACTTACTTTGCATACTTTACACATTAAAATAACCTGTGAATTGTGATGAATCATAAGCCAGATGAGTTTCTATGTCAGTGATTTTCTGGGTTACAGGTCAGTTTATTTACAGATAAATCTTTCATGAATGAGCTTTCAAGTACTTTGATTTTATTACCTTGTGAATAAGCAGATCTAAACATTTAACTGTCTGGCTCTAGCTTCATTTTCTGCACACATACGTGGGACTGCCAACAATCCTGGCATGTAACACTAACCCTCAATAGGAAAGTATATTTCTGTGCTTTCTTTAAGCTGCTGGTATGAATCTATTAAGACTAGCCTCTGACACTGTGGTGTACACTAATTAGGAATGTGGATACTGAGTTTAGTTAATGAAAGGGGGGAAAGCAGTATTATATTTCAGCTGGTCTGCATCACTGAAGCTTAGACAAAGTGGAATGAGACTGATTTAAAAAAAAAAAAATGACATGAGAAATGTGATGAGGTCTGGCCTTCACTCAGATTCTTTGCTTGAAAACAGTTCAAAGATTTCTGTCCTGAAGGAATGAAAACGCCAAACACATGTTAAAGCAAGTAAACATGAAAAAGGGGCCAATGCAGATGCTCTTCTCAGAGAGCAAAGTTTCAGATAAGCTCCTGTTTCTTCTATAATCAATACAAAGCAACAGGTGTTGGATTTAAAGTGTAACAGAGCGAGTCCAAATCCTCGGCGGTTTTTCTGTGTTTAATGGGCGCCGGTTCAGTGTTAATGTGGTCTGGCCCATTTCCCTGTTATCTTAGGCTGGCATCAAGACTTGTGGGAGCTGGAGGACAGCAGCAGAGGAGAGGAGGTGTCCATGGCAGGCAAAGGCACAGGGATGGGTCCGTTCAGCAGTGTGGGGAACTGCAGAAGGAGAAGAAAAAACTGGATTTTTGTATTTGTTGTGTTGTTTGTGTGAATGACAAAATAGTCTCCTGACCCAACGGGCCCTTCAGTGTTTTCCATGGATATAAATTAAAATAAAAACACAGTCACTAAAAGTGAAGAAGAAAGATAAACTCGATAGTTTGAGTCATTTGTTACTTTTTCTTCAGTCATTTCTTTTTGTTCTTCTTTACGAGCAAATCACAAAAAAATCAAATCACCTTTAAAGCATGTCGTTTTTATTTGTGGCTTTACGCTGGACTCATACATTAGTCTGTTATATACTAACATTACTATGTAAGTATATAACAGACTAATGTATAAGTCAGTGTAAAAATTGTTTCATGCCAATGTCTAAACAGTCTGCTGGAGGAAGTGCTTCAGGTTTCGAGACATTGTGAGGACGACACTGGGACCAAATCCTGTTCTGAGGACTAAAACTGTGTATTTGATGCTTGGTTTAAAAGTTTATTTGTTGTAGTGTGTGTGAGAGCTGACTCGGATGGGAGAGACTCCTGACCAACCAACACTCTCTTTTCCCCCTAGACAACAGGAAGTTGCCCTCTTTTCTTGTCCACACCAAAACGGAAACATCTGCAGCTTATTTTGAAACCCTTGGCATAAAGTGAATCACACACACACCTCACACACATTAATGTGAGAAAACAACTGCAACTGCTTGTCTCAATGCCATATGAAATGACTATGAAGAGCAGTTTGTGTAAACTGAGATAGTTTATGGGCACATCACTACACTTAAAAATGAAAACATTTATCTTTTCATGTCCTCATCAAGTAGAAACTGCCAAAAATTGTCTATGTTGGTTTTAGGTGAAGACATAGACTGTATATAAAAGATGAGTTCATCATGGTTAGAAGTCCCATCTTGAAGCCTCCAGCTGAGCATTTTAACAGGTCTCAACATGATGAGTGAGGCAACCTGAGGAATTGTGCAGTGTCATTTAATTTCACACTTTGTGGCCATACAGTCATAACCTGCTTTGTGTCTGTTTGACCACAATTTACAAAATGACCATCATTCTGTAACAATCATTATCTTGATATCTTCTGCAGGGATTGTTTTTCTAGCCAATGCAGTCCCCCTGGGAAGTACATCCGTCGTAGTCTATGTAGAAAGAGTCTAGTTTTTGCTGAATAACCATCAGTGACAAAACCAATGTAATCAATGTAAGTGTAAGAATGCAGCAGACATGCTCTCCCTCCTTGGTTCTGCTGGCAACCACTTCCTCTTGGAGGTGGGTTCTTTATCCCCACTGTTGCCAAATGTTGCTCATAGAGGATCCTTTGGGGTTCTCAGTCTAATATTTTGATCTTTGCTTTCCAATACCTTGAGTTGTTTTATAACCTGGTGCTAAACAAAACTGAATCCAGTTAAAATCAAATCAACTTTTAACAATGTAGCTCGAGCCTGTGGTCCGTTCCTGAAGTTAAGATATTTTTAGATTTAACAGAGGCTTGGCAGCTGCTGAAGACAGCCCGTGCACATGCATGGAAATAAAAATAAATGACTGTTACCTGGAAGAGGGGCGCGTGGCTCTGCAGTTGGGCAGGGCTCAGGGGTCCCACTGGACTGAGGCTGGACCAGAATTGGATATTGGAGAGCAGAGGGCTGGGAGTGAGCAGCAGACCAGACGGAGTCTACATAGACAAAACCCCAAATGAAATGTCAGGGAATAAATACACTAAGAAATAGATGATGGTGTTTATTCTGGCAGCACATCAGCGGCGAGGCTGTCGTGTCACTCAGTCTCACCCAGAGCTCAAAGCCAAGTGTGCCCTCTAGTGATCTCAAACCAACTTGGCAGACTGTCTCCATGCAGACCAGGAAGCCCCACTCATGCAAAATTCATGACATCTACTTTCTGTCTCGGCTTTCTGAGATATATAAAAGCAGTTTGGTTTTCTTTTCTTCAACAGTCTGTAAAAGGTAAAGGAATGCTTTTGTGTTCCCACTGTCAGTACAGTTACACTTTCAGCAATGCTAGACTGCAGACGGCTGTATACTTATGGTTTTTAGCTGATGACCTTTACTTGATTGCCTGCCATTGATCTGTCTGGTAATTCCAGGACCTCAAATGTCTTTTGTTTTACCACTCAAAGCTGTCTTATGAACCTTGTTATAAACCATTTATTGATGTCCGGTCCACTGAACTAGATTAAGATTGTTTGTGGCGCACGATTTAATGGATTTTTGCTTCTTTACCAACCACAACCTACGAAATGTGAAAGAAAAGAAAAGAAAAAGCAAACACCATAAACTTGTTTCTCACAGTTCTATTCTGATTGTGATCCAGGAAGTGAAAAAGGGGGGGGAACAAGGTCTTTAAAAAGTTCCAGACTTTTTATTAAAATTCCCATGTGTTCCCGTGGATGAAAGTGGGTTATACATACTAATATTAAATAAGTGTGCACATGAACGCAGCTCAACTTTTGAAATAATGAGTGAACAGGTCAGCCTATACTTTTATTTTCCATCAGTGATGTATGCACAGCAGTGTATGATTAGTCAGTCTGGATAAGAGCGTTCGCCGAATGTCTGAATGTAGTCAGACTGTCCTGGTTTGGTCAGTGTGTTGTTGCCAGTGAATCGGAAGCTGCATGAACATATGGCTTCACTTATGAACCTCCTCCCTCCCTCCCTTCCTCCTTTTCTTTCCGCTCACCTCTTTCCATCTCCTCCCTGTCTGACTTTCCTCATCCAAAAATCTCTTCTTTCGCTCGTCTGACCCTCATCTCCTCATTCCTCACCTATTACCTACTGCATTTCTGGAAGCATGAATGTGTGTATAACAAGTGTGTAATGTGTCACGTTGTACCTGTGCTGTGAAGAAGGCTGAGGTCAGAGACCCAGATGGCAGAGCTGGGCTGTTGAGGGCAAGTGAGACAAGGTCACTTCCTGTCAAGAGATGTGAAGGGGCGGAGATTTCCAAGCCTTTCGGTTTTCTTCCTTTTACAGGCGTACTATTGGCCAGTCCCCTCCTTTCTGGTGTTGTCCTGCTCTGTAACCTCTCCCTGTCTCTCTGACCAGATGACAGGTTTAGAGGTTGTGCGCTGGGCTCCAATTCATCTGCATCTGTGCTCTGGACTCCCACTCTCACTAGCATATGGGTGGGGCTTTGTGGAGGGGAGGAGGAGGAGGAGGAGGAAGAGCAGGCCAGCTGAGGAGACGGCCTGGAGGAATGGGAGTTCTCGGTTGAGGATGGGGGTGGGGTGGAGGGGAGCGAGGAGTGGCCACGGTGGGTCATGAATCGGATGACAGAGGAGCCGTCATCCGGACGATCGGATCTGGGCTCTGTCTTGATTGGCCGGTGCTGCTCTAAGGAGTGATGCAGGGAGCTGATCTTGAAGGAGGAATACAGGCCGGAGTGGAGGTACTGGTTCCTCTCACCCCCATCCTCATCTTCAGCCTCGGGTTCTGATGCGGTGCCCCCGCTTTCCTCACTGCTGCGACCCGACTCCACCAATGCAGGGTCCATCTTCAGAATCTCAGGGAACGACACAAACTTGTAGACAAACTTCTGACCGATCACCTTCTTGATGATGTTCTGCAGGAGAATCACGATGAGATGTGCAGTTCATTACAACTGAGGAGACAAACCACTTCAATGTTGTGTAGCTTAGATATATAAGTTGCGTACCTTGTCATAGTAGTAGCGCAGTGCTCTGCTCAGCTTGTCATAGTTCATGTTGGTCTTGTTCTTGCGCAGGCCCCACAGCTTGGCCACTTCCTCTGACTTGAGCAGCTTGAACTCGCCATCATTGGATGTCCAGCAGATAAGATGTTTGTGGCTTTGGTCGAGCAGCAGCTGCAGCAAGAACTGCCAGAGTGTGATGGAGCTCTCCATGATGATGGGGAGGGAACGGGGACACCAAAGACACAGGTGATCTGCAGTAAAAAAATCAGATCAGGAGAAACAGTCAATCTGGAATGGCCTATATTCCTTTGCAGGGGTTGCTTCTGTATCTCTCTGTACATCTGTAGAGTGACAATAAATTCTTTACTGCACAAAGAGTGCAGTAAGGAAGAGCGCATCTCTTCTATAGTTGAATCTGTACCAAAACATTCACATGTCAACTGTTGGACGAGTAAAAGCATGTCACATATGAATCTCTGGAAGTTATGATGCTGATAGGAAGTGTTCTCCTTGCTGGTGCATTACAAGTCTACAACTTACAGTGGCTTCTGTGATAATAGCTAACAACTCTATGTTCTTTTACTCCATGAATTCACAGTTAAACTTAAGATCTGATATGACTTGGGCCCAAGTCTTGTCATCTTCATCTCCCCCTTTCTTGTCTCTCTTGCCTCATTCTGGACCTGTTTTTTCTTTTATGTTTTTTTATTGGATGAGTTGGTTCTTTATTGTAGTTTTTAATAATACCGATTACATGTTTATGTTTGTCTAAAGACAATAAACATTTGATAACAAAAAAAGCCCATCTAGCTCTTAGTCCCTTTAGAATGAAATATCTAGTTCTTTAGCTTCAACATGCTACGATGAGCTAAACCAAAACAATGAGCTCAAACTATGATGGCCCTGAGAGGTTAAAAGCACTGCAACTCAAGAAATAAACTCACAAACAAAAAACAATAAAAAAAAAAATTACTGCAGGATTTTTCTATTTGCTGGTGTTTCCTAAAGTTGCACTGCATTTGACTTCCAGGGCTGCCATATAAAAGACATTAAAAGATCTTCTTATAAACTGCACAGTTGGCTGATAGAATTTGTGACACTCTGTGCATTACAAATATTAATTTTATATTAATAATGTGAACTTGGTGTCATAAAAATATTGATTAATGCAGCTTTAAAGCTCAGTTTTATTAGAAATACAATACACCATTCCCAGTGAACTTAAATAAATGAGAACCTTGAACTTGGAAAAACAATCTAATTGAAGAATGGGATGCTGTGTAAAATGTAAATAAAAATATTTGCAAGTCAGCTGATCCCTTTTACTGATAAATGTTGCTGTGCTTCAAAGATATATCTGGACATTGTTGATGGCATCACATTCAAAGTTCGCATTTGCATTTCACGCAGCGGGTTAACTTTTGTGGAAAACCGTACTTAAAGTACATCACAATACATGCAAGTCATCCAGTGTCCTTAAAAGGTTATAGATTTTAATCTTTCCAAGACTCAATTGTGAAAGAGGACATCAGAAAAAGAAAGGAAAAGGGTAGTTGGTGGGTGGAGAAGAGAAAGACTGTTGGCATCAAAACTAAAGTGTATGCTGATCCTTCTTCTGGTTCAAACATGTTTAACACATGTTCAAATAACTCAACCTTTGAATAACAGAGTAATAAAAGAGCTTTTAGAACAGACATGCAACGGTCATCTGTGAATATGGATGTTTATCAAGGCATACGGGTAACTTTCAAGGGGAACACGTCATATTCCTCCCCCATGCGTTTGTCCTCCTCAAAAAGCAAAATAACACACTTGGGGAAACTGTCAGTGTATGTTGAATTATTACCCGGTGCTTTGCATTACAAAAATAAAACATTTCCATTCTATATTGATGCACAAAAGCTGGCGCTCACCCATGCATTTCCATTTGAAATGAAAATCAGCCCATTATTTGGTTATTTATGCTTTAATGACACACCCAGAAGATTTATACACGGGGTATGAAAAATGATTTGCTGCATTAAAGGTCATTTTCTTGCCAAAATCTTCCATTATTGTGAATCTTAAACGATCAGAAAGCCAACAGTTGTTAGCTCTGTTCGTATTTACTTGGACTACTTTTGCTTACAGTTGATTAGTGTGAGATATGTAAACCATGTGTCTGTGGGTACTGGTTTGTGTTCTTTGCTACTTCCTCCCGCTACTTGTGTGTGTGTGGAAGTGTGTGTGTTACAGTACATGTTGGGGTGGATCACTAGTGTTACAATTTCTGAAAAGAGCTCTTTGATCATTTTTCAGTTTTGTTTTAAGATGCAAAACAATTTCCAAAAACAAACAAAAATAAAATCTCTCTGGGATTTCCTCAAACTCCGACACTGCTCTTTGTGCTTCTTGTTATTTCGCATGTGTGCATGAGCTCTAGTATCACGTGTGTGACACAGAGAGAACGAGAGAGAGAGGTTCATACATTTGGTTGGTTGGTTTTTGGATGTTCCCATGGTGATAAAACAGGATGTGGTCAGTGATCTTCTGCCAAGGCAAGCCTGGGTTTTTAACTGACATGTTTACCTGTGGGTGTCTGCCTGTCGCTCCCTGCCTCCTTTGTCAAATAAATTAAATTACAGTGCCTGAGCTGCACACTGCGAAACGAAAAATAACAAATAACCACTAATAGTCGGAGTAATCAACTACTGATTCGATCTAAAAATACAGCGTACACCTTTCCCTTTGTGTCTTTCTGAAAGGAAACCAACCAGCAAAAGGGGGGTAGGGGTGAAAGTGCATTTCGTGCAAACAATGACCCATCATCGTGAACACACACACACAAGCAAGTGTGTTCTCACTTCCTATTTCCTGAATGTGTGTGTGTGAAGTGATGGAAGAACTGTACTGATGTCCGTCTGTCTAAACGAGGACTTCCTGTCATTCAGTTTCAGGGGCGTCATTCCCGGTGAGAGACCTTTCCTATCCAGGACTTCCTGTCACAGAGACCCACTGGGAACGAACACACACACACACACACACACACACACACACACGGTCTATACTTCTATATAGATCTGTTATATGGGGTATACATGTATGCCTCGGTGTCAAACTTTCTGATCTATACTCTGCAAGTCTGTTGAGGAGATGAACAAAGCCACAAAAACTGCTGATTTATTTGGAATTTCAGAATAAAAGCAGTCTGGAGCACTGATCCGCTGTTTCAGTGCTTAAAATCTGCTTGTCCATAAACTCCCTCTTCTTGTGCAAGCTCACAAGTCATGGAAGATCTGTACATAAAAAAATTCTCCTACTGCAAATGTTTATTCATGGGATTTTCTGCCAGTGTCTTCTGGGGGCTCTTCAGTCCAGCAGAAACAAATCAAAAGCCACATATGAGTCTATCCATTTTCTTTAGGCTGTGTATTTCTTATTTTTGGAAGTATGGCTGTGTGTGAGAGTGTAAGTCTGTGGAAAGAGAGCAGGGGTTTCTGCTGGAACTCAAACGGTTCTTTGTTTTTGCACCAGTGACTCATTTTCAAGATGTTGTCTGCTGCCAGCTTCTATCCGGAAGCGCATGGCAATTAGTCTGCGAGGTCCAGACAAACCAGAAATTCTACTACTAGATTTTTAAAGGAGCCACGGCTGATTTTTTCCCACAGCAGCCACCATTCTAACCTCTTTTAATCCCTTTCTTTACCCCCAAATGTAGCTCCCATCAGCGGGGTCAGTTTTGATTCCAAAGCAGAGTGCTAAAACCGCAGCTTTAACACATTTTTACGCACAGCTTTACCTCGTTACGCACAACTTTACGCGCGACTTTAGTTGGATTTCAAGTTGACAGTGACTGCCTGACCGTTACAGGACTTCAGCAGATACACCAACAGCTAACGCGAGCTCGTTTCTGTCTTTCTATTACGCCCAAATGTGCTCAGACACATAACTTCAGAAAGTTGCCCATAGCAGGAAATATGGCACCTACCTAGCTGTGGCTGCTCCTCTGTCCGTGTGCGATGTGTGGGTTTGTGTCTTTAAAGCGGTGTGTGCGAGGTGTGTTGGGGCTCCATGCTGCTGCTGTTGCTGCCCCGCTGTCTGAAAGCGGATCCGCAGCTTTTCTCTCTCCTGCTCAGAGCAGGAAGTCGGGACGCGTAGACGGAGAACGGGCGCACTTCCTCTGGCGCAGTATTCCAGTCTGTGTAAACACATACACACAGGCGCGTGCACACGTTAACACAAAATTTCTACTTCCCATAAACACACCTCCTCTTTTAGAATACTCTCTCTCTCTCTGTGTCAGACACACACACACACACACACACACAGAAATATTGTAATCTTGACTACCCTCAGCGCTGAGCCAAGTGACAACTGACGTCACCTTCTTCCTGCTCACCGGGAGGGGTTCCTGTTTTTACACACACACACACACACACACACACACACACACACACACACACACACACACACACACACACACACACAGTACCTTAAGTAAATCTGGGCCTTTGGGTAACTTTATTGTCCAAACTTTAGTTTCCTTATGCAAAAATCATCACCTTCTGGAGGTGGGTACAAAACTTTATTAAGTTTAATGAATAAATATATAATATTTAAACAATTTAATATAAAACCTTTAATGCTCTCGACTTAAATACTTAGTATGGGGGCTGAGGACTTTGTTAGATGACGCATCAGCTGAAACCCTTGAAAGGTGCCTTTCAATCTGGAGAGGTCAACCGCAGACTGTTGGAAGAGAAAGGTAAAGATCGTTTATGTCTGCAAAGATGAACCACGCCTCAGCATAAGCGCAGCCCACTCTCTGCTCTCCCTGAAATTTCCATTTCCAAACCCACACCAGAGAGCAACATCAAACGACCTCACACACTCTAGTCACATACTGGTCAACAGACAGAATTTAGCATAAAATATTAATCAGATTTTGCTTTTTTAATCACTGAGAAACCTGTTGTGCCTAAGTCAGACAGTGCTGTATGGTTCAATTCTACATTAAACATTTTTTAGTGAGTGTATGTGTGTCATGGTGGCCTCCAATGCCATGCCAACAGCTGTTGCATCATTTATATCATGCAGCCTTCATGACATAATTCTGCAATCGTTTATTATTGCAACTGCATGCCGATAGGGGTCGCATGTGAGACAGTTTAGAGTCCTCAAGCACTCAGAAGCTAATTTAACCCAACAGGAAAAACACAATGTAATGGGCAGTCACTGGCAGGTAATGCTTACCCAACAGCTGGTGGAGCTGGATTGTCTGTGCACCATGTCAGGTTACTTTCCATATCGCAACACAGATCAATTTGAAATTGTTATGTAAATGTCCCTGGGTGGAGGTTTGAATGCTGGGTTTCCTATGAAATTCCTCTTGTGATAAAGTTACGTTCAGATGCCGTCTGACTGTGTGAGGGAAACGCATGAGAAAACATTTTGTTGTCTTTTCTGCTTTGACCTGTGCTTCATTTGTGTGCGAAATAATAGCAAACTATTGTGCAGGTCTTTTCTCACCTGATAAAAGATTAGTCTGTGTAAGTGCAACTTTACATGTGTCATCTTATTGCACTTCCTCTCATTTGACTGTGTGGTTTTGCATGTCGTCCTTATGTCATTTGACTGTTTAGCTTGTGACATGCAGTGCAATCGAGCAACATTCTACACTACGTGCAGCACATACTGCTGCGCTTTTTTGAATACCTGTCTTTTAAAGTAGTTGATAACATTAGAAAAAACTAAGACTACCAAGAGAATTCGGAGGACTGAATTTAACAAGGCAAGTTATTTTTGGTGGCCTACAAAGTAGTGATGGGATTTCCAGCTCTTTTTAGAGAACCAGCTCTTTAGGCTCGGCTCACTAAAAAGGCTCCGAACCGGCTCTTCAGGTTGTTTTGTTGCTTTAATTAATTTATTATTAACAACAATAGAAAATTAAGCACAAAAGGAATTACTAATGTAAAAAAAAGTGGTTTTATTTATACATGTTTATATATAAACATGTATAAACACGCATGCACAAAGTCCAAAGCACGTACAAACTCCAAAACACATTTCTAGCGTTAACTGAACTTCCTTAACAGAGCTACCTAGATCACTTAAATTACATAATTGAAAGCATATGTGTATTGTTTGTGTATTTATACACAAGCACTCATATATATTAAAATAATTTAAAAAAAAGTTCATTTACCTGTTACTACCACACACCAAATCCGGTTGTTGGTACTTGCTGGCTTGTGTAGCCACTAGGTAACAAAAGCTCAACACTGCCCCTAGCATCCTGGAGCACTTCTGTCATCTTTTGTACGTGCTTTGGAATTTTTATGTGTTTTGGAGTTTTTACGTGTTTTGGAGTTTTTACGTGTTTTGGAGTTTGTACGTGTTTTGTCTACATACGTTTGCCACCGTAAATATACTTTTATTTATTCACTCCACATAAAATGTAATAAATAAATCATATAATACTAAAACCAACTATTCACATTTCAACTTTTAACTATTTAAATTTTCAGCTTTTTCCTTTTAAACAAATTTAAAGTGAAATAACACAAAACACTGCAAACCACAACACCATTAAATATAAATTAAAATATGAAAACAAAAAGAAGATGCACATTCTCTGTCATATGGGCCTGCATGAATAAACTTTCTGAATCCTTTATCATCCGCAACTGAAAATAGTTGTGGATGATTACTATACCTTTCTAATGTGACGTTGTTGTCCCTGGCTCTCTTTCTCTCTCTCTTTCCCTCCCGCTCTGTTCCTGTGCTACTGCGAGTGTAACTCTACCGCCCCTCCCCCCTCATCCCAGCTTAAAGCACAAGGCTCGCGTGCGGAGTGAAGCGGAAAAAAGTGCGAGAGAGAGGGTGAGAGAAAGGAAAAAAAAAGATCTGCTCTAAGAGCCATTTCATTGATGACCGACACATCACTACTACAAAGAGGTAAAAGGCTCTTGGCGAGATGGTGGGTATGGCTACATCAAAAATGAAAGCGCAGGTATGCACATTTGAAACCATTTTAAGACACTCACTTGCCAAACACTGCCCACTGGTGGTGAAAGTTTTATTTACTTCTTGCCTAGGGTAATTACAAAATACACCTTTAAATGTTAAGTCAGTAAGAAAATCATAACAATACAGCCATATAGCATGCATCAGGACATGCAAAACAGCACAGACAAATGAGAGAAAGGATGACAGAGGCCAAGTTGCACTGACGGACAATTAATCTGTCTGGTAACCAATCAACACACACAATCTGATCAATAACAAGTTAAAACAAATGCTTTATGATGTATTTACTCCACACAGACTGTGCACATGTGAACATATTTTGGCGCAAATGGAAATCAAAACTTTGTATTTTTCCCCTTCCACCCAAAAAATAAAAATAAATAATGAGAAATATTTTTTCAGATGAAAAGACTACAAATAGACAGATATGCATGTGTAAAATCAATTGTCACAGGCATCAAGAATATGTGCTTCCACCGAATAGTTCTCCATCTCTTCACGTTAATCTAACGAACTGCTCTACAACTCCTAAAAACTCATATACAGAAAAATTAAGCCAAACCAAAGATCAGAGTGAGACTTCCTATTTGTTTGTTCCTCTTTGGTTGAAGTTCCTGATACCCTCTCCGGTCCGCCCCCATCTTTAAAACGTCCACAGCGCCAAACTTTGGGCTCCCCAACGGGAAAATGACGAGCAGCGAAGAGGAGCCGCAGTGGAGGAAAGTGCATTCCGTTACAGGAGTGATACCTCGGTCCAGGCATGGACACCGTGCAGTCGCAATCCGGGAGCTCATCGTCGTTTTCGGTGGTGGAAACGAAGGGATAGCGGAGGATCTCCATGTTTACAACACTGGTGAGCTACCGTTAGCATTCACGCTAACTAGCAGGTTAGCGGCTAATGTTTTTAGCATGCTCGAGAGGGAAACGACCCCTTAAGCTAACGAGCCCTCCACCACGGGCTTTTGTATACTGTATATGTGTTGAATATATCTTTATAAAACAACCGCAAAATTATAAAATTGCGTGTGTACGATATTATTTGGTTGGGTTCTTTTTCATGTTTGTAAACTATCCACTTACTTGACCAGGAGAGTTTTATAGTTCCGAAATGTAGTGAACTGTAAAGTGAATTTGAGCAAGAGCCAAAAAAAAGTAAGAACGTCACATCCTTTGTTTAATTAGCGATAGCAGTTAGCTTGAAAACATAAAGTTTCACAAAGAAGCATGGCAAAAATTAAACAAAGCTTACTGTGTGCGGCAAAGTGCCAGCGGAACTCGAGACTACTCCGGTACCGAGTGTTTGAACGTGACTCATAACGGACTTTTGTGTAATAGTGAAAACATGCACAAAGAAAGCACTGAACTATATGGCATATTAAATATATGACGTTCTTTTGTTACTTAAGGTGCAGTTTGGGTTATGTATGTAAAATATATTTAACGTGAATGCGTGAATTGTCTCCAGGCCAGCTTTGGCCAGTGCATTAAACATTATTAAGACATGTATAATACATTGGCTAACAGCTACCCTTTTTCCCAGTCTCAAAGCAGTGGTTTCTACCTGCGGTTAGGGGTGACATCCCTCCTGGCTGTGCAGCCCATGGCTTTGTTTGTGAAGGTACTCGAATACTGGTCTTTGGTGGAATGGTTGAGTTTGGGAAATACACCAACAGCCTCTATGAACTCCAGGTAACACTGTCTCTTTTTTCCACTGCAGCTTCTTCTAACTCTGCTGCTGTTATGGGGAAGATGTTAAAAGATATTTTTTGTTTCTCAGGCGAGTCGCTGGCTGTGGAAGAAGCTGAAGCCAAGGGCACCCAGAAATGGCTCGCTGCCGTGCCCTCGGATCGGACACAGCTTCACTCTTGTGGGTAATAAATGCTACCTGTTTGGAGGGCTGGCCAATGATAGTGAGGATCCCAATGGCAACGTGCCAAGGTACTGTGCAGACACATCTTTACTCTCAAGAATGGTGTAAAAACCTGTAAGTGCTCTGTGGTTTATTGGGTTTTTCCCATTTTAGGTATTTGGGAGACTTGTATGAATTGGAGCTCCAGTCAGTTTCAGGGGCCAGAGGCTGGAACATTCCAGACACAAAGGGCCGTGGTCCCTCTGCACGGGAGTCCCATACATCAGTTGCCTACACTGGCCTTGGTTCCCCGAAGCTCTACATCTTTGGAGGAATGCAAGGAAGTCGGCTAGATGACCTCTGGCAGCTTGATCTTGGTAGGAGTGATCTTGGTTTTATATATCATAGTGACTAGCTGCAGAAAGAAAGCTTTATTTTGATGTTCACTTGGATTAAAATTTAAATTGCACTAGTGATACTTATGCTTGTGATTGTTGCCAACTGTCATTCTCTCA